ATGTTATATATAACATATTTTGTGGACATATTCTATTAAATGTCAAAGCTCTCTGTATATTACCATAAATGTCAAAGATCTATATATATTACTTTTGTTGTTATTAATAGCAGTAAATAATGATGATGATAAGCATTTACTCTAGAGGGTTGCAAATACCTACTTGCAAGTACAAATGGTAATATAGAAAACAGAAAAAGAAAAAAAGGCATCTAAATCCACAATTCTTCCACTTAATAGAGGATCTCAGGACTATCACTCCCTCCTGTTACATCTTACTAATATCTGGTAAGAAGTACTATTTTGTGATATACTAGATACTCTTTAGGAAAAGTCTATACAAACATTAAATGCACCAAGGAATTGCTCCACAAAGATCCCATGACATTAAATGTTAGATATAATCACTTAAGAAGGACCTTACATTTTTATGGTAATAGAAGTTCCAAAATTACCATTACCAGTAATTATTTTTTATATATATATATTTTTTAATTTCATGAAGTTATGGATAAATACTTGCCCTCAAATGTACAGGTATTCATTTAAAATTAGAGAAACTTTCTTAACTTAAAAAAAGTGAAAATACCTTGTAGGGAAGTTTGTAAGATGCATGAAAATCCACACCACAGAATCTGAAGATACATCTTGGACAGGTACCAGTACTGAGCAACAACTGGGCCACGTGCTTGTTTTCCTTAGTCAGTGGAAACATATTGAATAATTATAACTAGAAAGAAAGAAAAAGAAAAACTAATAAGCATCTTTTGTGTTTTACTTTCACAAATATGTCATCACCTTTAGGGATAAAAACTAGCTTTCACTGGGTAAACACTATGTCATACTCTCCAATAATGTCCCTTTCATTATACGCATATTGAAACATAAACTTGAAGGAAATTTATTAGATGGATCAGGTAAAAGTTTCTAATTGTCAAGGAATTCAGTTTAGCATTCTGGATTATGATAAAGTGCATCAATACTACTAAATCAACCAAAAGAAATTAAAATAATCAAGAATGTTTGTCTCTGAGGAGGGTCATGAAAACAAGCGCACAGAGTGAAATTTTGCTTTTCATTTTGTACCATTCAGTATTGTTTGAGAACAGAGTAGAAAATTCAATAAACTTTTCCTATCAGAAATCAAAAATGAGGGCCGGCCCCGTGGCTTAGAGGTTGGGTGCGCATGCTCCGCTGCTGGCGGCCCGGGTTCGGATCCCGGGCGCACACCGACACACCGCTTCTCCAGCCACGCTGAGGCCGTCTCCCACATACAGCAACTAGAAGGATGTGCAGCTATGACATACAACTATCTGCTGGGGCTTTGGAGGGAAAATAAATAAATAAATAAAAATTATTTAAAAAAAAAAGAAATCAAAAATGAGTTTGCTAGAAAAAAATAATCAGATCAGTCTATATTATATAATACTTGACTAACCTTAAGCAGTTAAGGTTAAGCAGTCAGGTATTTAAAACAAATTGGTCAGTAGATCCAAAAACATCAATTTTATTTTGATGAAATAATAACTAAATGACAATGAACTATTAGCAAAATGAGGAAAATCTGCTCCTTTCATGCATAAGTAAAATCTCCAACAAAAATAAATTAAATGCAAAATATTTGAGTAATTATTGTCTAAAACAAGTTGCTACTCTTTGCAATTTGAATAAACTCAGTTTATTCTAAGTGAGAAACAAATACTACACAGAGAATGGGGGAAAATCTCTTGTTGCCAGGAAGGAAGAGCACTAAAAATTAAATTACCTAATCATTCTGTTTGGCAAAAATAGATATTCTTCTAATGAATCAGTTCATATTACTTTAAAATGAGGAACTAGTGATATTTTATAAAACAGTGATTGCATGGCAATGTTGTGGTATGGTATAACTGTGGTCATACAGATAAAGACAGTGGCACCTCTTAACTTGTGCCGTTTCTTCAATTTTATTTATTTATTTTTTTCCCCCAAAGCCCCAGTAGATAGTTGTATGTCATAGCTGCACATCCTTCTAGTTGCTATATGTGGGACGCAGCCTCAGCATGGCTGGAGAAGCAGTGCGTCAGTACGCGCCCAGGATCGAACCTGGGCGGCCAGCAGCGGAGCACGCACACTTAACCGCTAAGCCACGGGGCCGGCCCAACTTGTGTCGTTTCATAATTCAAATGAACTTGCTTAAGATTTGGGGCAGAGTGAAGCTCTTACCAACTGCTTACTATGAAGATGTGATTCTTAGAATTCATTTGTGTTTTCCAACCCTTTAAAACCCAATACTTACTTGTAAGTTTCTAAATGTTTGTGGCCACTTATCAAGAGTAGATCTTTGACACAAAATAATGAGGAAGACAGGTATGTAGTTCTACAGAACTCTTCACCATAAAAATCAGTTCAGCAGCCAGGACTACAAAAAACAGATACCTTCCGATTGAGTTCTAGTTAGGTGAATATGTGAGTTGGCAGGAAGAGAAAGGGAAGAAAATCAGGCTTGTCTGGACACACGAGTGAGAACTTTCAGACACCTGGATGGGGAAACATTGATTTGGGGTTCCCTAAGTAAATCCGGGTTCCAGGGCATTTTTACAAAAGTACACAGAATATGTAGAGAACACTCTGTACATAACGAAGCTCTGTGTGATCATTACTATTTACAAGTGATCTGAATCCCTTCCCCCAGCCCATTTAATCTGCTAGTTTGATGCTGAGAAGGAGTTGGAATTCCCTGAAGGGCTGATTATCAGCATTTAAAGTATATCCCTGACAGCACTCCCCTCACAAAGAAACTCTTTCTGTCTTACTCTTCAAGTAATCTTTTCTCCTCCTTTCTATTAGTTAGAAATGAATTAAAGGGAGTCAAGGATTTCATTTAATTCAGACTAGCCTTTAACTCAGAAATGGAAACAAATAAACCCTCCTCTCCAACAAATGAATGATGAGTAAGTGCTTAAGAAGGACACTTTGTATCAAAGATTTCCGGGGAGATTTAAGTGGATAGTTTTATTAAAAGGTATGCTTTCTTTCCTTTGGTTTAAAGACTGAATGTTTAATTCTCCAATAGGTTCACTAACATATAGATATCATGCAAAGTCAATAAGTGACACATTACAATCGCTTGGCTCCGAGAAGTTCCCAAACCTGTTGAGAATCAGGAAACCTCCTGTCTTAAGTAATTTAAACAGGTCTTGAGTGTGTGTGTGTTAGTAACTGAATGGACTTACAAACCTCTCCAGATCATTTTCACCTAGCAACAATCTAAGGACTTCTCAAGCACCTTAACATTAAAAGGAGGAAATACTTATGCCTTAAATTTGGTTGTTTCATCTTGATATACACCGCTGAAATAATAGGATTTCATAAGACATCAGAAATCAGTTGTTCCATATGAGCTTTATTTTGAAAGCAAGCTCTGAGAAACGCATCCCATATTCTAAGATTTTCATTGTTGGTTACCTTTGTTAAGATTTTTGCTTTTCGTTTAAGTGTTTGTTTTACAGAAAGAACTGGAACAAGTCATTGCAACAGAACCTCCTCCCAAGTGTCAGAATCCCTACCGCGATCGAGTCACTTCTCCACAACCAATGACAACTAGCCCAGTCTCTGGTTTATTGGAGGAGAGGACAGACTTTCTTTTCACCTCTCGGACGATTACAGAAACCATTCACTGCAAATAGGGAAGGAGCAGGGCATGTGAAAAAGCACCAAAATGACCAGATTGAGTCTCAGAACCTGTGATCTTTTAAAACTAATTTCCATACAGAAGGGTGTCATTCACTCGTGGGGGTGGGGGTGGGGTGTGGATTTCCAAAGAAGGAGGCGCTCACAACTTCACTGCGCTACCGATACACTCAGCTGTGGAACGTACTCTAGACTCTTGGAAGTTCATCTGAGATCTAACCTCGAGTTTCCCCTTTGGCCAAGCAAGCCCCTGCCCCCTTCTGTCAAGTCCAAGAAACTTCCCACTCACCCCCTCCTTGCTAACAAAGACGCTCCAGCAGGAAGGAAAAGATCCCCTCCATCCACACCTCTCCAGCACCCAGTCCGCACCGCCGGACCTCAGACCTCCCTGCCTCACCTTCTCCCACGACGTCGGAGCCTGAGATTTAACCCCTTCCAGCCCTCAGAGGGAACGGGGAAGACTAAAGACAACGCACCTATTGCGTCTAGCAATTCTGTTCCCCGAGGAAACGAGAACTTTAGAACGAAAGTACCAGCCGCCTCTCGCGAGGACTGAGTGAACTCTCCCCTGGTCCTTTGTAGGGAGATCAGTAAACCTGGCTAGCCTGCTGCCACACTCCCCACCTCCCCGGCGGGTGTATGAGTGCGTGGGACAGAACTCCAGGCCTGAGCAGGACTAGTCCCTAAGAAGCCTCCGTGAGACTCCTAGGTCTAGGCCATTGTAGTCGCTGCCAGAAATATCGATGAGCCCTTACCCTCAAGTTTAGAATGCAAATTCTTACTAGGGCAAATAAAAAGAGAGCTTTTCTCCCCCAGGGATTGGTAGCACCCTCATATCCTTTGATCCCAGCTGGCAAAGCACCACAAGGGACGTCCTAACTGCAGGAGTGGGCAGGGTGGAGGGTTCGGTGTTCCGCCCATTGTGCCTGGCGCGTGAGGTGTTGGTGAACCCGGGCCTGAGGAGTCCCAGCTCCAAGTGGGAGTCGAGCGGAGGCGGAGGAGATGGCTTCCCAGCCGCCACCTCCCCCGAAACCCTGGGAGACCCGCCGAATTCCGGGGGCTGGGCCGGGACCAGGACCCGGCCCCACTTTCCAGTGAGTGTGGGATTCTTCAGGCCGCGAGTTTGGTGGGCCGGAGCGGGGACTTGGCTGGAGGCGGTTGAGGCCGTTGTTGGGGTGCGGCGTCCCCTCCCCCTCTCAACCAGCCCCCACTTGAGGGGGTCGCGGTGAGGCCAGGGCGCCTAGGAGGGGGATTTCGATGTCAGACAGCTGTTTCTGACCCGGCGGTTCTCGGTAGCGACGTTCTCCGGGGGCTCTTGAGCGCCTCTCTGGGTCCCGGTGCTTGGAGGAAAGGGGGTGACTTCCTGCCTCCTTTTGTTTGCGGGACACCTTGAGAGAATCCCTTGACCCCGGTTAAAGCGTTAGACTTTTGGTCTCCAGCAGATGAGAGTGGCATTTGCCCAGCCCCGGCTCTGTAGGGAGCAAAGTCTCTCGTAAGAGCTTTTACCAACCTCTTGGGAAGCTGATGGAAGCCCAGAAGGTCACTTTTATGCAGCTGGAACCCCAGGTAACTCAGCAATGTTTCTGATAGAGGATTGGAGAAGCAACTTAGAGCCGGAGTTGTGATTCTGAGGCCTATAGATGGCTTTTGTGTGCAGAATAGAGTGATTTTTCTAAGGCCTGTGTTTTTTTTGTTTTTAAACAGTATTAAATGGATCTACGACTCAAAAAAGATTAAAATAGAATGAAAGAAGAGTTTCACGGCCTTGTGTGTTTTGTATTGGGCAGATCTGGACATCTTAATTCAGATGATGGGATTCAAATGTCAGATCACCTATAAAAATCCCGAACGTGCTGGGGTGTATTTCTGCTGTGTTCTGAAATCTTGTAATCTTTTATTTAAACGCTAAGATGCTTGAACACAATAGCTACTTAATTTAATAATGATAGATACATAACAAGTAATAAGCTTTGATTATGCTGTTAAGCTGAAGTGACACTTTCTGCTAACTTTCTTGTGAGTGGTTTGACTTCTTTTAAAAAAAATTTGAACTGCTCTTTGGAAGACAGAGGTTTTATTCTTGCATCTGTTAAAGTTCTATTTATGTAAAATTATTTTTTTTTCGTCGTGAATTATTTTAAACATGTAAAGACTGGTAGAAAGTAAGATAAATACTTGTGTATTCACTCTCAGCTTTAAGAAATAACATTTTGCCAGATTTGCCGCAGATTTTTTTAAAAATAAAAATTAGAGGGGCCGGCCTGGCGGCGTAATGGTTAAGTTCACGCACTCCCCTTCAGCGGACCAAGAGTCACAGGTTCGAATCCCTGGGGGGGACCTACGCACTGCTTATCAAGCCATGCTGTGGCAGGCGTTGCACATATAACATAGAGGAAGATGGGCACAGATGTTAGCTCAGGGCTAATCTTCCTCACCAAAAAAAAAAATTAGAGAAACACTTGAACACTCCCATTCTTTCCTGCGGTAACTGCTGTACCTATTGATGTTTAGTGCACCCAATGTTTTCTTAAAACTTTTTTTATTGAAATAACATTGGTTTATGACGTTATGTAAATTTCAGGTGTACTACATCATTACATTTTGATTTCTGTGTAGACTACATCATGTTCACAGTACACATGTGCCCTTTTACCCCTTTCTTTCTTCCTCCACCCCCCTTCTCTTCTGGTAACCACCAATATATTCTCTGTGTCTATATGTTTGTTTGTTGTTGTTGTTTTTATCTTCCACATATGAATGAAATAAGGTATTTGGCTTTCTGTCTGACACGTTTCACTTAGCATAATACCCTCGAGGTCCATCCATATGGTCACAAATCGCACGATTTCATCCTTTTTATGGCTGAGTAGTATTCCATTGTATATATATACCACATCTTCTTTATCCATTCATCCGTTGATGGGCGCTTAGGTTGTTTCCAAGCCTTGGCTATTGTGAATAATGCTGCAATGAACATAGGGGTGTTGTATATCTTTTAAAATTAGTGTTTTCATCTTCTTTGGCTAAATATGCAGAAGTGGTATAGCTGGATCATATAGTAGTTCTAGTCTTAATTTTTTGAGGAATCTCCATACTATTTTCCATAGTGGCTGCACCAGTTTACATTCCCATCAGCAGTGTATGAGGGTTCCCTTTTCTCCATATCCTCTCCAACACTTCTTATTTCTTGTCTTTTTAATAATAGCCATTCTGACAGGCATAAAGTGATACTTCACTGTAGTTTTGATCTGCATTTCCCTAATAATCAGTGATGTTGAACATCTTTTCTTGTGCCTTTTGGGTATCTTATAGCTTCGTTGGAAAAATGTCTGTTCAGATCCTCTGCCCATTTTTTAATTGGGTGGTTTGTTTTTTTGTAATAGAGTTGTATGAATTCTTTATATATTTTGGATATTAACCTCTTATCAGATATGTGATTTGCAAATATCTTCTCCCAATTTTTAGGTTATCTTTTTGTTTCTGTTGGTTTCCTTTGCTGTGCAGAAGCTTTTTAGTTTGATTTAGTCCTGTTTGTTTATTTTTTGTTTTGTTTCCCTTGCCTGAGAAGACATGATATTCAAAAAGATACTGCTAAGGCTGATGTCAAAGAGCGTGCTGCCTATGTTTTCTTCTAGAAGTTTCATAGTTTCAGGTCTTACATTCAAGTCTTTAATCCATTTGGAGTTAATTTTTGTGTATGGTGTAAGGT